GGATGCTGGACTAGATGGGCCTGATTCAGCAGGCTCTTCTTATGTTCCTATGCATGATGAACCAGTGCTGCCGTGCACCCTCTGCAACTGGGCATACCACAAACTGAGCATTTCAAAAATGAGCCACCTGGAGTTCAGCAATATTTCAAAAGTGTTATCGGATCCCAGAGAAATCCTAGATAATCCCGAGGTCCCAGTTGACTTTGTTGATTAAATTATTCTTGGCCCATCTCTCGACGCCTCCTCTCCGTGCCAAATTACACACAGCTGGGTGTCCGCCAGAACCTCTTTGCTGTCCTTTGCTGAAATCAACAAGCCTGGAGTGTGTAATAGTGCATTTATCTCCCAGTGATTGCAACAGGACTTTGGCACAACTCAATTTCCCTTGGATTGCAGTTGTTGGGCAGTGGCGATCATAGATGATCATGGGGATTCACTTGGCTAACCATTTATTTCTCTGTTCTGCACTGCATGATTTGTGCATGAATCCTGGGAATACAGGGGCTCTTTGGGTGGGGGGTTCCTACATCCAAGAGATAGGCAAGTCATGTGGAATTACAAATATAAGAACATAAAATCAGCCCAATGGCATTCTATTCTCACAGTGGCCATCCAGCTGCATTTGTCTGGAAACCCACAAGCAGGATTCATACTACAGCACTCTGATCTCTTGTGGTTTCAGCAACTAGTGTTCAGGAGTATAACCGCCTCTGACTGTGGAGGCAGAACATAGCCATCCTGGCTAGTAGCCTCTGATAGCCCTCTCCTCTATGAATTTGTATAATTCTATTTTAAGGCCATTTAAATTGGTGGCCATCACTCCTTCCTGTGGCAGAGAGTTCCATAGCTTAACTATGAACTGCCTGAAGAAGTGCTATATTTATCTGCTCTGAATCTTCCCACATTCAGCTTCATTGTCCCCAATGTCTAGTGTTATAACTCCACCCCTGCACCTTTTCCATGCCAGGCACCATTTTATAAACTTCCATCATGCCACCTCTTACTTGCCTTTTCTCTAAACTGAAAAGCTTCATACTCTGAAACTTTGGTTCATAGGGAAATCATGCCTTCATCATTTTCCAGCTCTACAATGTCCTGTGTTCTCTTTCAATGTGTGGGTTGCTTCCTCTAAATCTTGCACTGCGCAGAAAAAGAAAACCTCCCTAAATTCTGCCTAAAATGCTTGATCTCTGAGATCACAAATCAGGGTAGAGATTACAGCAGTACCCAAATCTTTGCTTTCCAGTGATTGAGCAAATCCCACCAAAACCTCCCTGATCAAATTAAGTCCTGAATGATTTCACCACCACCACCACCACCACCAATAATGACATAGTATGGATGGGGACTTGGAAAGGAGCAAGCCAGAATGTGGACAGGAAAAAGCTTTCAGAGCACCATACGCAACATATTCAAAGCTTTGATGTACAGTGGTACCTCGGGTTAAGAACTTAATTCGTTCCGGAGGTCTGTACTTAACCTGAAACTGTTCTTAACCTGAAGCACCACTTTAGCTAATGGGTCCTCCTGCTGCCGCTGCACCGCTGCTGCATGATTTATGTTCTCATCCTGAAGCAAAGTTCTTAACCCGAGGTACTATTTCTGGGTTAGTGGAGTCTGTAACTTGAAGCGTCTGTAACCTGAAGTGTCTGTAACCTGAGGTACCACTGTACTTCAGGAATGGATTCACAACATCTCAATTGCTTCGTTCTCAGAGGCTCACTGTGACGAGGGCCAGAGGAAAAACAGGAGAAGAACCTGTCTGCTGGATCAGGCCAAAGACTCATACAATCCAGCATCCTGTTCTGGAATCATAGCATCATAGAACTGTAGAGTTAGAAGGTACCCCAGGGGTCGTCCAGTCCAGTCCCCAGCAATGCAGGAACCACATTCCTAATGATCCCTCACATGTAACTATTCCAAATGTGGTTGCACCACAGATTCTAATTCGATCATTACCTTCAAACTACAAGAAAAGCAAACTGATCTGCAGAAAATGTAACTTGACAAAAGAGACATTGAACATATTTTTGTAAACAAAGAAATCTTTAATAAAAATAATTTTTTTAAAAAACTAGAAGAAAAGCGATTCCGACTAAACTTTAGGGCAAACTTACAGAGGGTAAGAGATGTTAGACAGTGAAACAGAATCCCACGAGAGAGGTTTTTAAGCAGAGGTTGGATGGCCATCTGTCATGCATGCTTTAGCTGTGATTCCTGCATTGCAGGGGGTTGGACTAGATGCCCACTGTTGTCCCTTCCAACTCTACAATTCTATGATTCCATGATTCAAGATCTTTGTGGGGAGAGAGCGGGACATAACCAAAGAGATATTGTTGCTGTATAATGAAAATGTTCTATATTTTTTAATCGGCTGATAGTCAAGTTAAATGTCACATGTGGTTTGTTTTGATTATCAGATTGCAAATCAGGGAGCTCTCAGCCATGAACTTTCACCATGGGCTAACCATGGCAGGCATGATTCATCACCTGACGGCAAACAATGCTATCAGCCTAAGATGCTTGAGTGATGCCTGTGAGCTTCTGTTCAACTTCCTTCCTCATCTTCCTCTTCAACAAAGCTGCTATCGCATCACAGATCTTTCCTCTTGGCACAGAGCAAGGGTCTGCCTGCCTTGACCCTCTGACGCTCCATCCTAGCATGCACAAACTCTTAGCCGCACAAAAGGTTTTGTCCCTTACTTTAAATAGCTTATCTGCAAGATGAGAAGATGCCACTAGGTTGCATTCTTGGAACATTTTTTGGTGTGGGTGGGGAAAGAAGGCGGACTCCTCTTCCTTGGAGGTTTTAAGCAGAAGTTGGATGGTCATCTGCGATTCTTGCATTGCAGGGTTTGGACTAGATCAGGGGTCAGCAAACTTACCGCGCCTTGGGCTGGTGTCTTCAGCGGCCATCGTGTGGCCATCCGGAGGGCGGGGGAGCGCGTGCGCACACGCTATTTCTGGTGCACTTCCGGGTTGGAGAAGCACCAGAAATAGCTTGTGCGCATGTGCACGGGCCTCCTCCGACCCGGATGTGCACCGGAAATAACGCCTGCATATGCGCACAAACTATTTACGGTGCTCCTCCGACCCAGAAATGGGCAGCCGCTAAGCGCAGCGCCAGTAAGAGCGGGTGGTGGCGGCGGGTAGCGGGGGTTGCCGTGGGCCGGATAAATGAGTCCCTCGTGCCTTATCCGGCCCACGGGCCTTAGTCTGGGGACCCCTGGACTAGATGACCTTGAGATTTCCTTACAAACCTATAATTTGATGATTCCCTGATTCCATTTAAGGACCTTAAATTAAATGTATTGGTTTTGATAACAATCGATTTACCAATTGTACTATTTAGATATGGAAAACCCGGCAACCTAAACCTGCACAAGCTATTTCTCCAGTAATCCCCACATCACATCTCCCAGATTTTTCCCAGCAAGGGAAACAAACTAGTTTGAACACTGGGAATACAAAGCCTATTTACATACAGTATGAGATTTCTATACTAAAAATTGACCAATATATATTAACCAAATAAAATTAGTTTTGTGAAACCTTAACACAAACTGGATATACAGTGGTACCTCAGGTTAAGTACTTAATTCGTTTCGGAGGTCCATTCTTAACCAGAAACTGTTCTTAACCTGAAGCACCACTTTAGCTAATAGGGCATCCTGCTGCCGCTGTGCCGCCAGAGCACGATTTCTGTTCTCATCCTGAAGCAAAGTTCTTAACCCAAGGTGCTATTTCTGGGTTAGCGGAGTCTGTAACCTGAAGCGTATGTAACCTGAAGCATATGTAACCCGAGGTACCACTGTATTTTAATCCACTTAATAGTTTTATTATAAAATAACATGTAAAAACACAAGCATAATTTGAGATTTCAACAAGAACTAGAACTCCCAGGTGCTTTTTAGATGATTTGGAATTCCTTTATCACATATGTAACGGAAACAACATTTTCAAGACAACCCTCCTCAGAATCCTGGCAAATTCAGCACTAGTAATCAGACAACGCTGATTTTCCAGCATTGCAGGGGGTTGTACTAGATGCCCCTTTGGGTTACCTTCCAATTTGAAGCCTGGACTTTGAAAGTCATCTAATCTTCCTTGCTGTATTATACTGTATTGATTAATTAGTGTTTTTATGGAGCAGTCAAGTAATTTCGTTGTCCCCGAAGGGGGCAATGACAATAAAGATATTATTATTATTATTATTATTATTATTATTATTATTAATTTCACAATTCTGTGATTCATTACTTGTACCTTCATCTTTTAACCCTTGTGCAACTGTACTCATGACGTGTACCTCTTTATAATTTTCTTTTTCACCTTTTGATTTCCATCAGTTGTTATAACCATTCTCTCTGGTTTTATAGGCATTGTAAAATGATTTTTTTAAAAAAAACAACAACAACAAACCTTCAACAATATAAAAAAATAAATGCAATAATAATAAGTAAATATTCAACCCACTAACCCTTTCTACCTGTGGCAAGTTGCTTGTGGTCCGAGTCCAGAATTAAGTTTTGGGTTAAACCAGAGTCAAAAGGAAAAAAAGAGTGGGTTGCAGCACCCAGTGAAACCTTGCAGTCATAATGAAGCAGAAGTTGGTGGTGGAAAAGCCAAGAAGGAGATCTGTTCATCCCTTGGTGGAAGTCTGTGGGCCTGCCATTAACTACATCTGCGATTCCGATCTCTCAATTATTGTTGTTTTTTTTTAAGTGGCTGAGACTGTGGCTCAGAATCAGAGCCATTTCCAAACAGGATGCTCTTAAACCCTTGTTCTGCTTTCTTAATCCCCATCAGTTCATTTAAACCTAGTAATGTTTTTATGGCTGAGCCTATCAGGACACAGCTGGGACAGGAGGTAGCAGGAAGAGAAGGAGGAAAGGGTTTTTTTGTGGGGCGGGAGGTGAGAGGACCCCAGGACAGGGGAGTGGATGGTGTGTTAATTCTCTAGGAATTTCAGAACAGGATAAAAAAGTCTCCAGCATGTTCAGGAATCTTGGTAAAGAGAACACTGAGAGGCCAGGCTAGGGAACCACCACCAAATCCACCCTGAGCCATTTCATAAAATCATGGAATGGTTAAATTGGAAGGGACCCCAAGGGCCATTTAGCCCAACCCCCTGCAATGCAGACCTAGTCTGAGGATGCCACCAAAAAGCCTGAAAGTATTACTCCTGAAAGACAGTGGAAGACATCTGTCGAGGCACTGATGCCACCCAGGGCCGGATTTTAGTTTGATGAGGCCCTAAGCCATGGGTAAGCAAACTAAGGCCCGGGGGTCGGATCCAGCCCAATTGCCTTCTAAATCTGGCCCTCAGATGCTCCGGGAATCAACATGTTTTTACATGAGTAGAATGTGTCCTTTTATTTAAAATGCATCTCTGGGTTATTTGTGGGGCCTGCCTGGTGTTTTTACATGAGTAAAATGTGTCCTTTTATTTAAAATGCATCTCTGGGTTATTTGTGGGGCCTGCCTGGTGTTTTTACATGAGTAGAATGTGTCCTTTTATTTAAAATGCATCTCTGGGTTATTTGTGGGGCATAGGAATTCGTTCATTTCCCCCCTCCAAAATATAGTCTGGCCCACCACATAGTCTGAGGGACGGTGGACCGGCCCATGGCTGAAAAAGGTTGCTGACCCCTGGTGCCCTTTATATGTCCAGCTGTCCTTTGTCAACAACAAATTGCCGCTGTTTTTCTGTGCTGGATATATGGTAATTTATGGACCTAATAGGCATCTAAAGCCATTTGCACATAACAAAATATGTATTGTATGAAAGTAATTGATATAGAAATGAGCAAACCAGTGATGTTTTAGAGAGCAGGCTAGCAGGCACGGCCCATTACTTACATCATAGGAGCCTACACAACACAAAACACTGTTGCTGTATGTAGGTTTTAGTTAATTTGTTTTTTATCTTATATTTTGGAAATGTACATCCAGTGTTTTTCCCCTTTATTTTTTTTGGGGGGGGGCCCCAAGAGAGTGGGGCCCTAAGCTATAGCTTGTTTAGCTTATAGGTAAATCCGGCACTGGTGCCACCTTGCTCACAGCTGATAGCAGTGCAAGAAAAGGCCAGGAGCAGCCAAGCAGCTAATTTGAAATAAGGACTCTGCTCTGTACCAATGTCATATGCAAACTGACCATGCAGCTCTGCGTGGAGCAGGTATCAGGACAAGGAAAACCCTCTACTGTCTGTGCAATTTGTCTAGAGCATCTGGAAAGTGAGGTGTCTGAAAACATATTCTTGGACTGACATCTGACCAAGCAAAATCTATTTCAAAAGCCTTTAGACAAGAGCCATGATAAAGCAGTGCCAATTAGAAGGCAAGAGCTGGAGGCACTTGCAATAAACCACAAGCCAGTGCCTTTTCTTAAACAAAAGATATGTTGTTAACAATGATAAGAATGATGATGATGATGATTATGATGATAATTAATAATTTCATTAATGTACCACTTATCTTCAAGCAAAGCAATTTACCATACAATCAAAGCATACAGAGAGCAATTAAGGTTACTTGGAGGGTCATTCTGCAGGGATTCTTAAGCTGTGATTCCTGTATTACAGGAGTTTGGACTAGATGACCCCTGGGAGAGGGGTCCCTTCTAACCCTACAGTTATTTTTTTTCTTTGATTCATTGCAGCTTTATCAACAGAGGTTGGCTACCTGTCAGGGATTCCTTAGCTGTGATTTGTGCTTTGCAGGGGCTGGTTTATATAATCTTAGGGGTACTTTCTATACCTGGAATTTTATGACTCTTTTGCTGTGGGTGATTTTGAGGGGCCCTTCCAACTCTTTAGCTGGTATTTCTGCATTGCAGGGGGATGAACTAGACGACCCTTTGGGGTCCCTTTAGTTATTTGATTTTCAGATTCTTAATTACATTTATATCCCACCCTCCCTCAGAGGAGCTACTTGTGGCACACTCACTAATATTTAATGGGAAACACAGCTCTGTAGCCTGGAGAGGGGTGATTTTTTTATTTTTTATTTTTGGCATGGAAAATAGAGCCATCTCTGAGCAGCTGTCAATCCCTGTGACCTTAGCTCCTCCTGTGCATATTGCATGAGGTTTTTCCCCCTCCTCCTCGTCCTCCAGTTTCCCCCCCTTTTTTTCTTTTTGCACACCCCCTCCTCCCATGGACCCCCCCTCCCTTCCATCTGAGTTACTGTTCCTCTGCGCTCCACCGGGACCTCAATGAGATTTGAGTTCCTGGTAGATGACACGGAATAATTGAAATGTCCTTCTGATGACCTTCAGACTCCGGCAGCCTGACGGTAATCAGGGAGGGCTGACAGATGACTGGCACGCAGACCCCCTTCCGTGAAGCCGCACACGCACACACATACCCTGTTGCACATCCACACACAGGGACAGAGGCCACCTTTATGACGAGAGATGAAAAGCCCGCACTCGGGTCCTCAGACAGAACAAAGGGACTCAAAGCTGTGCTTTGCAGGCATGAAGAAGGTGAGGACTGAGCATCATACATATTCAGGCCTTCCCAGTAGAGTCTCTCTGGAGCTCACTAACATCTCTGATCGCCTCAGATTATTGTGTCTTTTTTGTGTGCACGCAAAGTTTTATTTAAAAATTCATTTTGTAACAGGCAAAACAGTTACAACAACCGATGAAAAGCAAAATTATAGAAGAAGCATGCAGAATGAGTGTGAGTTAAAATATGCAAGCTGAAAATCAATCAGAAGGCAGAAACATTTTTTTAAATATCCTATGCTTTGCAAGTACTTAAATTTGATTAAATTTAAATTTGATTAAGGCATTTTTTTAGTTCCAGTGGAGAACTGTGTTGGTTAAGATCATAGAATCGCAGAGCTGGACCACAAGGGTTCATCTAGTCTAACCCACTACGATGCAGAAATCACAAGTACCGGTAATTTTTCCCCCTTTGGTCAAGATTTTTGTTTAAAATTCCTTTTATAATGTAAATACAGTGGTGCCTCGCAAGACGAAATTAATTCGTTCTGCGATTTTTTTCGTCTTGCGAAGCACGGTTTCCCAAAGTCTTCAAAATCACCAAAGTCTTCAAAAACCTCAAAAAAGGCTACCACACCTCGTGCTATGAGTTGCTCCTCGAAGTCACCCTGGGTATAACGGTTTTAAGAAAAAGGAAACAAACTTGCAAGACGTTTTCATTTTTTGTTTTCTTCATTTTTCGTCTTGCGAAGCAAGCCCATAGGGAAATTCGTCTTGTGAAGCAACTCAAAAAACGAAAAACTCTTTCATCTTGCGCGTTTTTCGTCTTGCGAGGCATTCGTCTTGCGAGGTACCACAATATGTACAGACATATTGACTGTGAATCCTGGAAGCCCTGCACCCTGCCTTGCAGGCCTTTTCCCACCTGGTCTGAGAGGGAGAGCCTCTTACTGACCCCAGATACAAAAGCTGAGGCTGCTGAACAGAACCTTGGACTGGAGAGGGTTTTATTGGGAGTGGTTGTTACTGATATCAATACTCCTTTTTCATATATTTGTTTTAGATGTTATTATGATCTAGGTGGAAATGTTCAATTGGGTTGGGACTTCCGGGGTGGCGCCATCGGCAATGGCGGATTCCCTCTGAACTGGAGGGACCAGCTCTACGGGAATCGGGTCTTTTCCGCCACGGCGAAGCGGGGACCCATTCAAAAATCACAGGAGGATGAAGCCTGTGACCATGGGACTCGGCGGGCACCTTTAGCGCCCCCCCAACCCGCAAAAGAACCCATTAATGGGCTCCGGAGCGAAGAGGGGGAAGTGGCGTGGTGCTGAGAGTCAACTGCTTCTTCCGTGGAGCGAAGCCGCACAGCCATTGCTGGAGAGCGCTGCCTTTTTCCTGGGACAATCTGGCTTCTAAAATAATCACCCGTGAGTACCTAAACTCGGACAATTGGACCCTAAATAAGGACTTGTGAGCAGAAAGGAAAATTGGACTTAAATGTTTACCTTAATTTGGCGCTGAAACGGGAAGTTCTAAACAGGAAGTCAGCCTTCCGTTTCTTTGTAGATAGATTAAAGCAAAGACATGGCAAACTAGAGCTCAGAAAATCGCCTGTAAAAGATTAACTTGCATCATTTAAAATTGCTGAACCCCCTTCGGAAGCAGGAGAAGAGGGGGGATTTTTTCGGACTGTTTAAACCTGCAGAAGTGAGGGTAAAGTAAAGTAACTTTCCACCGTCCTGATCCTGGAGCGGGGTGTTAGGACTGACGTTTTTTGAAGCTCATTGACCAGAGACAACGTTTTTGACAGATAGCTATAAGAAGAGAAACTTTGACTCCACTGTTCCCCTTCGCTTCTTAAAGAAACAAATATTGACAAAATATCTGAAAAAGGAAACTTTTTCGCTAGACTTGTCTTTAAAAGAAAGAACAAATAGAAGTTTTCCCCCTAGAGGGAGACTGTGAAACTGTAACCAACTCCGGGGAGCTGGCAGCTGTTACAGATTACAATCGTGGGAATAGACATCTGACCTTGCAGGACAATGTACTCAGAAGCTCTGTTGTGTGCTTTCTATAAAACAAATGCCCTATTGGAACAGCTACATGAGAAGACGAATTTGATGGCTGATTCGATTAGAAATTTTGAACAGGCAGTGGGAAATTTTGAACAGGCAGTGGGAAAATATGTGGAGCCCACCCAGGAATTAAATCAGGAGTGTGCCTCGACAGAACAGGCCCAACAGGAACATGAGCTTTCGGATTTGACAAATGAACTTGAAAAAAGCCAGATTTGGAAAGAAAAAGTTTGGTTTGGTTTGGAAATGGGGGGCTGGATAGACCCCCCTATGCAGGGATGTTTGGACTTTCCAAGTCTGGCAATGGGCCGTGAGATGTCTGGGATTGTGGGGGCTCTTAATTTTGGAGGGATTCTGAAACACGTTTTTAAATGCCACATGGAGTTTAGTTTGGACTATGGAAAAGGGGCTGATCTGTTGGAAAGGGTCAAAAACATTGTTAAGCTGGAGTTCCCACGAGTGAAACGAGCAGGAGACAAGGGAAAATACAGTTACAAATATGAAGAAGAGCTGCGGAAGGGACATGGAAGAGACTTAAGGGCCTCGGATATAAGGTTATCAGGTTAATGCGCTAGATCGATGGGAAAATAAGGACTGACAAAACCCGGGACCAGGAGGAAGGGCCGCTGGATGAAGATTGATTGTTTCTATTTCTTTTTCTACTACTAGGATTGTTTTATAAAATTGATGAATGTTAGAAAAAGGTTGGAATGAAATTACTTGGCTTTAGTAAAAATGTTTAAAGAATTATGTGAGAATATTATGGTTATGAGAAGTTGGTAAAAATAAGATTTAAGTTTTAAGTTTCAAGGTTTTTTATAGTAAGATAAGATTAAAATAGTTTAAGGTAATGTAATGACAGAATTTTATGAAATATGGAAAGGATTTGCTGCAACAATTAACAACTAGGATACAAAAAAAGGGAGGAGGAGGAGGTCAAAGAAAGAAGGTAATGACAGTTGAGGATTTGAGAATAATGGATTTGTTTTTATTTTTATTTTTTTTATAAGATATTTATTAAGTTTTTTAAAAATATTACAATAAAAATGAAAAAAAAATGACAAAAATACAAAATAAAAATAGTTAAAAACACACAAATTTTCCATTACTTATTTTCCTTTGACTTATTTCCCGGACCTCCTCATACCTCCCTTTTTTGTATTCCACTTCAATCTGTTGATTCAGCAAATCCTTTAAAAGTAATAATATTAAATTTTTACCTATTTATAACCCTTTTTCATATTCCCTTAAAGCATTACAGCTGGAAACCACTTAATTACTATCCAACATCATTCTAACATTCATTAATTTTACAATATTTCTGTAGATAATCTTTGAATTTCTTCCAATCTTCTTCCACCGACTCTTCTCCCTGGTCTCGGATTCTGCCAGTCATTTCTGCCAGTTCCATATAGTCCATCACCTTCATCTGCCATTCTTCTAGAGTGGGTAGATCTTGTGTCTTCCAATACTTTGCAATGAGTATTATTGCTGCTGTTGTGGCATACATAAAAAAAGTTCTGTCCTTCTTTGGCACCAATTGGCCGACTATGCCCAGGAGAAAGGCCTCTGGTTTCTTCAAGAAGGTATGTTTAAATACCTTTTTCAGTTCATTATATATCATTTCCCATTTCCCCATATATATCATTGTTTTTAAAAGTTTGTGGTGTATTTTTGTTTTTTTTGAATTTGTTTTTTTTTTTGTATTGTTGGATGTGGTTTGTGTTTTTCTTTGTTCTTTCTTTGTTCTTTTTCTACTTTGTTTTCTTTTGTAACTCTAAAATTTTTTTTCCAATAAATATCATTTTTTTAAAAAAGGAAATGTTCAATTTGGTTGTGTACTTTTGGGTGTGTTTTATTTATTGTTTATGGCTACTTTTGTTATTTTTGAAATCATGTATTCTTTTATGCTGAAGGCTGCCTGGAAGTTCTCAGCACCCCTAAAAAAACTACAGTTCCCAGGCAGCTTTGTGGGAAGCCGCCTGCTTTCGATGTACGGCGGGGTCAGCAGCTGTTTAAGAAGAATGCAAAAGCAATGGTGAAGTGTTTAATGTTACATTTCTTGGGGGCCCCAGACTTTCCATCCATTTCTGTCTTCCCCTCTTGCCAAGAAGTGTTATTTTGCAGGAACAAACGTCAGTTATTGACTATAGATAAAGGAGGTCGAAAAACATTCTGCCAAAGAGTTATCCAATCCCCATTAATCTCCATAAAACAGCTTTATTGTGGGAAGACACCTTAGCTGTACGCTTCATTTTGATCTTGGTCAGTGATTAAGGCATTTTTACTAAACTTATGCCCCTTATAAATGCAGCTTGTGAGTTGAATGGTTAAAAGCTTGTAATGTGAGCGGTTCCTCTCTGCTATTCATTAAATAAAGATTTTAATTTTTTGGCTTGAAACCTGAGGTCCCTGACCAAAACCACAAACATTACTATGCTATTCTGCCTTGGTCAGGCCCCACTGGGCGTCCTGTGTCCAGTTCTGCATGCCCCAATGTAAGGGGGACATTGACCTGCTGGAAAGTGTGCAAGGGAAGGCAATGACAATGGTGAAGGGTCTGGAAACCAAGCCTTATGAGGAAGGGTGGAGGGAGTTGGGTATGTTTAGCCTGGTAAAGAGGAGACTGAGAGGAGATATGATAACCATCTTCAAATATCTAAAGGGCTGTCACATGGAGGACAGGCTAGGACCCGAACCAATGGATTCAAATGACAAGAAAAGAGATTCTGACTCAACATTATAAAGAACCTTGTGGTGGCAAGCGTTGTTCTACAGTAGAACAAGCGCCAGTCCACCTGTGAGACAAGGTGAGGCAACTGCCTCAGGTGGCAGGATCCACAGGGGCAGTAGATCCAGCCTCCAAGGAAGACATTGTCCTCTGCTGCTGCTGCTGCAGGGGTGGCACCGATGACTGTGGCATTCTCCTCAGCAGTCCCTCGACACAGCCTATACAGAGGCCTCTCAGTGAATAGGAGGCACTGCTGGTCTCCTTCCACCTCTAGGGAGGAAATGGCAGGGGCTGCCTTTCAGGGTCTCCTGGGGTCCTCACTTGCCCAGCGTGAATCAACCCCCCAAACCCAATGACCTTTGATTTCCACTTCCACTATTGGGTAAGGTTTATTTGATTCCTCTATTGTTCCTACTGTAGATTTTCACTCACCCCTTCTTCCCTAGTGGGAGCAGAGGGAAAGTTCACCTTAGGTGCCAAAATGTTTTGGGCCAGCCCTGACTGGAATGGACTCCCATGGAAGGGGGTGGGCTCTCCTTCATTGGAGGTTTTTAAGCCACCTGTCGTGGATTCTTTAGCTGGGATTCCTGCACTAGGTGACCCTTGGAGATCCCTTCTGATCCCACAATTATAAGATTTTATAATTATCTCTTGCAACTTTACAAAGTTGAGGGTGCCTTTCCCTTCACAAGTTCTTGGGAGAAACTTAACCAGCAAACAGCAATTTATAAAAGCAATCAGCTCAGAGCTGAACTCACATTCTTTTGCACGGCGGAATGTGGGTCCCGCCTCGGATATTTAAACTTATCTCAAGGCAAACAGCTGAACGTGAAATTAGGGAGCTGCATGAAACAAAACTGATTTTAAATAGTCAGTTGTAACATTTCCTTATTCTTTTGAAGTCTTGCAAATGGACTCAGCTAAATTTAGCGGGCTTGGTGCTAGAACACCAGACACTGTTTTGCTTCGAAGCCGTTGTGCAGTACTAAGCATTCACTTTAACAGATAAAAACTCCAATGCACCAATGCAAATGGCCCCTATCAGAGGCACTCCCTAGTTCCTGCATCCATAACTTATTCTGTTGTAAAGGTTTACTAAATTACAAATGTGAAAAATATTTTCTTTTTTCTCACCTAATTGCTGGAAGAAGGGACGTGGGTGGCGCTGTGGGTAAAACCTCAGTGCCTAGGACCTGCCAATCGTATGGTCGGCGGTTCAAATCCCCGCGGCGGGGTGAGCTCCCGTCTTCGGTCCCAGCTCCTGCCCACCTAGCAGTTCGAAAGCACCCCTAAGTGCAAGTAGATAAATAGGTACCGCTTTATAGCGGGAAGGTAAACAGCGTTTCCGTGTGCTGCGCTGGTGCTGGCTCACCAGAGCAGCTTCGTCACGCTGGCTACGTGACCCGGAAGTGTCTCCGGACAGCGCTGGCCCCCGGCCTCTTAAGTGAGATCGGCGCACAACCCTAGAGTCGGACATGACTGGCCCGTACAGGCAGGGGTACCTTTACCATTACCTAATTGTTGGAAGGGTAGCAATAAGCTTGGTACATATTATCACTGATGGCAGGAATGTAAATTGGTGATTTTTGGAATTTAATTTTGACAGAGATGATAAATATTACTATTTGTGGTGTAAAATTAATGTGACTGGATATGTCTGATGAGACCAATGTAGATATATAGTCCAAAGAATTGGTCTTATATATCACCTTGCAGCTCAATGGAAAATCTTACATTGGACACTTGGTACCACTCAGTCTTGAACAGAACTATAGTAGAGAAAATAACACATAATTTGGAGTTCTAGTCCTTGTCAAAATTTCAAATTATTTTAGAAGAACCTTTTAGAAGAACTGACATTCCTTTATTACAGATTCTACCTTTTGACCTACGAAGCTGCCTTGTTCTGAAGGAGGCCTTCGATAGCCCAAACCTGTCCATTTTTTCTTGCAACGGAAGTGAAAGTCGATCAGGTCCCTAGAGATTGATTGAATGACAGATGCAAAGGACTGAATTCACAAAGTTCCCTGGGAAAAGAGTATTCCTCATTGCTGAACTCTGTGCCTTCTCCCCATCTTTGGATTCATGCTGCTTTGGGGGTATTTCGCAGGAAGCTAATACAGCAGAAGACAGAAATGGGATTCAAGATGACCTTAACAGATTGGAGAACTGGGCCCAAACTAACAAAAATAAAATTCAGTTGGGACAAATGTCAGGATCTAAGGCAGATATAATCAGATGCAGAAATATAGGATGGGGAACAAATGAAAAGGATCTAGGAGTTTTGGTAGGCCACAAGTTTCAGAGCATTAATCCTGTTTTTTGGTCTTTTGTCAGCTTCTGATACCATTGACCATGGTATCCTCCTGAACCAGCTCTGGTGAATGGGATTTGGGGGCAGTGTATTACAGTGGTTCCTATCCTACCTTCATGGTTGAGTGACACAGAGTTGACACTCTGTTTCTCAACAACATCTGAATCAGAAGAGACTGTGCAGTCCCTGGGCCACTGTCTAGTCCTAGACCCAGTGGTGAAATGGATGGTGTGTAGGGGAACAAGCTGAGCTTGAATCCTGCAAAACAGAGGCACTGTGGGTGAGTAGCTCCCATGTCTGGGAAATTGGTCTGTTGCCTCTGCTGGGTGGGGTTGTGCTCCCCCTGAAGGAGCAGGTTCAGAGTCTGGGGATACTTCTGCATCCAGCTCTGTCACTGGAGGCTCAGGTAGCCTCAGTGGCTAGAAGTGCCTTTTAACAACTGTGATTGGCTTGACAGCTATGGCCACTTCCTGGACTAGGAAATCCTCGCTCATGGTAGTTCGTATGTTGGTTACTTCAAGACTGGATTAATGCAATGAGCTCTATGCGGGGCTTCCCTCGCGCCTGATCTGGAAGCTGCAGTTTGTGCAGAATGCTGCAACACAATCGCTGCAACACTTGAAGCATATAACACATGCACTCAGATATCTGCTATTGGGTCAAGTTCAATGTGTTATTATTAGTATATGTAAAGCCCTTAACGTATTGGGACAAGTTTGCCTTCAAGATCACCTTCCCTCACATGTGCCCACTCTACCAATTTGATCAGCAGAATTGGCATTGCCACAGGTGTCACATAATACCTGTTCCACATTTGTAAGAACTTGGATCATTTAGTGCAGCAGCACCTACAGACTTTAGAACTCCCTGTATACAGTGATGCCCCGCAAGACGAATGCCTCGCAAGACGGAAAACTCGCTAGACGAAAGGTTTTTCCGTTTTTTGAGCTGCTTCGCAAGACGAATTTCCCTATGGGCTTGCTTCGCAAGACGAAAACTTCTTGCAAGTTTTCTTTCCTTTTTCTTAACACCGTTAATACAGTTGCGACTTGACTTCGAGGAGCAACTCATAGAACGCAGTGTACATAGTAGCCTTTTTTTGAGGTTTTTAAAGACTTTGGTGATTTTTGAAGCTTTTCCAAAACTTCTTTTGCAGCCATTTGGTAAGTTAAGCTTTTAAAACTTTTTTTGGGGGGGTTGGATTTTGGGTTGGGGTGTTTGGAATTCAAGGACTTGGTGCTGGGGAGGGGTTTGCAAGAATCTGGAAGCTTGTGTGTTTTTTTCTGCATTTTTATGATTTTCTGTGACCATTGGGCCACTCTGCTGTTTTTTTAAAAAAATTCTGGATTTGAATTTCTGTGTGCTGGGTGGCTGGGGGAACAGTTGAGGAGGGGTTTGCAAGAATCTGGAAGCTTGTTTTTCCCCCCTGCATTTTTATGATTTTCTGTGACCATTGGGCAACTCTGCTGTTTTTTTTAAAAAAATTCTGGGTTTGAATTTTGAAATGCTCTTTACAGTATGTGTGACTTTAAAGAGCACTTAATAAACTCCTGTTGTACCAAATTTGGCTTTGTTTGGACTTTTTTTGACCATAGGAACGCATTAATTGATTTTCAGTGCATTCCTATGGGATTTCATGCTTCGCAAGACGAAAAATTCGCTAGACGAAAAAATTTGCAGAACGAATTAATTTCGTCTTGCGAGGCACCACTGTATTGAGATCAAGAAGGTGCCTTTTTTGTGCCTGCTAAAAACATTCCTGTTTAGACAAGCCTACCCAGATGTTTACGATTTTAATCTGTTTTAGTCTTTTAACTTTTTTATGTTTTAAAGTAGGTTTGTGAATTCTTCCTGATTTTATTGTTTTATCTTTGAGAAGTTTTGTTTTGTTTTTACAATCAAGCAGTGTACACTTTTTCTGAAATAAATAAATAGTGTTAAGCTTCACAGTTTAACTGTTTTCATATATCACAAACTTAACAGTCAACAGTGTGATGCGGCAGCAGAAATGGCTAATGCTCTTCTAGACTGCATCAACAGAAGTCCAGTGTCCAGGTCAAGGGAAGTCATAGTATCACTTTGATTCTGCCTTGGTCAGGCCAAACGTGGAGTCCTCTATCCAGTTCTGGACGCCACAGTTTAAGGAAGATATGGACAAGCTGGAAGAGGGGCAGAGGGAGGAGACCAAGACTATAAAGGGTGGGGAAACCAAATCTTACAAGGAATGGTTGAGGGTGTTGGGTATGTTTACCCTAGAGGACAGGAGACTGAGAGGTGACATGACAGCCATTTCAAATACAGTACAGTGGTACCTCAGGTTACATTCACTTCAGGTTACATACGCTTCAGGTTACAGACTCCGCTAACCCAGAAATAGTGTTTCAGGTTAAGAACTTTGCTTCAGGATGAGAACAGAAATTGCGCTGCGGCAGCAGCGGGAGGCCCCATTAGCTAAAGTGGTGCTTCAGGTTAAGAACAGTTTCAGGTTAAGTACGGACCTCCGGAACGAATTAAGTACTTAACCCGAGGTACCACTGTATCTGAAGGGCTGTCACATGAAAGAAGGAGCAAGCTTGATTTCTGCTGTTCTGGAGAGGAGGATTAAAAAAAAAAGGATTCAAATGACAAGAACAGAGATTCTGACTAACATTAGGAATAACTTTCTGGCAGTAAGAGCCATTTGGCAGTGGAACAGACTACCTTTCAAGGGGATTATTCCTCCTCTGTTGGTTTTTAAGCAGAGATTGGGTGGCACTCCATCCGGCAGGGATTCTTTCACTGTGATTCCTGCAATGGAGGTGGTTGTACTAGATGACCCTTCGAGTTCCTTCCAACTCTGCCGTTCTTTGATTCTACATCTCCACTTATTTGAAGACAGTGTGGAATGAGATCTCAGGCTGTAGCCATGCTGGCCTTTCTGTAGTGAAGAAACATTATTTTTTTTAGCGGAAGGCAAGATGGATTGTTTCAATTTTGCTAGGAACAGAAACCCATCCCCAGTTACCTAGCAATCAGGAAATTGTACACAGAGGGAAAATGCTATATAGTTCTGGCCCAGCCTGACCACTCAGCTGCAAGACATGCACAACCAACCCTGCATTTTACTGTCTCCTGAAAATTTGCTTGTCGCTTTCCTACATTACAAGACTTTTCCACATTTTACATTTTGTTAACTTTCAAGAGATCAAAGGCTGCTTAGATAAAAAAAAAATGCTCTCTCCACCTTGCTTCTAGAAATACTTCCTAGAATTTCTTGCATGGATTCTCTGTGTTATTCTTCCTCCTCCCTTTTTAAAAAAAACAATAAATGGGTTTTGTGATTAATTATCCTGGGAAAATAACCTCCAAAGGCACATCTGCTCCCCGTTTGTTTGCACATTCAAGGGGTAAATCAGCTTTTGAAGCTGAAGTGAGCTAAAAGTTGTGAAATGTTGGAAGTGTTGTGATTCTTGCAATGCAGGGGGTTGAACTAGATGACCCTGGGGGACCCTTTAAGCTCTGCAATTCTATGAACTTCATGAAAGATTGCAGACAGACAGAAAGGCTGCAAATGCTCCTAATTTTGCAGCAATGTTGCAACCATTAAAATGGCTGTGTTGGCTAGTGGGTGGAGCACATTTTTCCCTAGACATGTTGGGGTGGAATTGGACAAAAATATTGTCCACATGATGTGGCATTATCTCCTGGTCCTTTGAAGAATTCATCATTTTGGTATTAAGTCTTTTTATCCTCTGAGACCAAGGGGGGCAACAGGTATTCCATGGTGAAACAATCAAGACCATAAGAACATCATAATGGGAGCACTGTTGGATCAGGCCAATGGCCTGAAGTCCAGCACCCTTTTCTCACAGTGGCCACTCAGATGCCTATGGGAAACCTGCAAATAGAGCCTGAGCACAAGAGCTATTTCCCCTCCAGCGTCTTCCGGCAACTGGCATTCAGAAGCATGAATACCTTCAGCTGTGGAGAACAGAACAGAGCCATCATGGCTAGTAGCCATCAATAGCCTTCTCCTCCTCCAGGAATTTGTCCAATCTTATTTTAAACCATCCAAGTTGGAAGTCACAACCACCTCCTATGTGGGTGAGTTCCATAGTTTAACTATGCGGGATGCTTGCTTTGTCTGGTATGAACAGAATTTTAACTTTTGTATGTTTGAAAGTACTGCTGTAATTTTTTCTTGATTTTCCTCTTTTATCCTTTTATAAACTGATTTGAGGGTGGTTGTTGTTTTTTGTCTTTCTTTTTTTTTTACAATCAAGTGGTGTATACATTTCAGGAAACAAGCAAGCAAACAAACAAACTGAATAGTAATCCAGCAGGCTTATCTTATGTTCTTACGTTCCCACTGGGCTACATCGCTGCACAGCCTGTTTATTGTATTTTGAGAGTCTTCCTTTGCTGCCAGCCAAATCTAGACATAATGAGTGATGCTCAGGGCTGGTGCGCAGGATTGTCACGTTGATAGACATAATAAGTCCCAAAGAGTCAGCAAGGAGGCATGGCTGAAACACTCCAGAATTTCACATAAAATGCAAAGTGGTTTTCTCCCCAGGGCACTTCTGAAAGGGAAATTCAAAGGTTGTCTGTCAGCAGGCTTTTGGAGTGGGGGTGGGTTCCATCTGAAATTCCTTGTTTGTTTGTCTGTATGGACAGCCCTCAGAATGGCAACACTGCGATCATAGAATTATACAATTATAGGGTTGGAAGGTACACCAAGGGCCATCTAGTCCAGCCCCCTGCAATGCAGGAAGCACAGCTAAAGTGTTATTGACAGATGACCATCCAACCTCTACTTAAAAACCTCCACAGCAGCAGAGCCCCTCAAATGACAGCCACTTAAATTTGCTGATGTTCAGAAGCTTTTAGCAGGAAGGAGGCATAGCTTTTCATGCTGTTCGGCTGGTTCCGCCCCACCCTCCCCACTCAGTCTCCCTCACCTTATGGGACTCATTAGCAGTTAAAC